TAATTAATTAAACATAAACCTTAAAGCCAATCACCTCCGTTTTGTTGCCGGCAGGGTCCGCGCTTACTGTGAACCCCGGCTACTACTCGTCTCCCGTCAGGGTACCCCATCACCTGGCCACTCTACCGACCCTTTTTGGATGTCTCCTGCTGCCAAGGAGCAGCCTGATTGTTAAACCACCGAACCACCAACGTTGTTGACTCTCCGTCAAAATATTACGGCAGGCAGGCCGGTCCACTTGTGAGGAAGCCGTGTCCAGTGCTGATCCGCATGCTGTTGGTGCTATCTTCTTGAGGTGCCGACTGTTGTCATTCGTATACCATCAAGTGAGCTGACAACTTGAGGAATTCACGTTCGGCCGAAACAGCGCACCCACACAGTTTGTCCCGCACCGAAATGATGGTTGCCTCTCTCGTGCGGGATGAGTCCAAATGCATATAGACAAAAATCACTTTTTGATCAGATGCGGTAGCCGAATAACCGTTCAGAGGAGTGCTTCCTATCTTTTGCTGAGGTTCTGCAGCAGCGGAACTTCACCAATCGTAAGGAAGTGCTTAAAAGCCTGGTTCCAAAACTGCGAGGTTAAACCTCGTGAATGCCCCCCTTGACTCAACATATCGCATGCTCGGCCACGGCCAGACTGGAAGCACGCGCTCTCTTTCTCTTCTTACGGCCTTAGCAATTAGGGCAATCGCCCCCGAGCGCCGCAATTCGCGGGGGGCGCTGTCACCTCACCCCTGGGCTACTCTTCGCCGTTTGCACAGAGCGCGTCTGACAGTGTATCTCAGCGCTGTCGCAACTTGCGGCAGAGATTTTTATAGTTTTTGACACCTGATCCTTACGTTTAGACCCTCAGCCACTATCTCATGCGCTTCTGATGAGCCCAAAACGGTGAATATTTGACGCACATCTCCGAGAGATTCGGGAGTAAAAAGTAGTAAGTAAAAACAGCGAATGCAATTGCGGAAAAACTATACTCGTCTTCACCTCCAGGACTTCTGTTGCAACTCAAGAAGAGGAGGAGACGGACCCCTTCTATGTGGAGGAACTTTAAATGATAAATAATTCGTACACTCTCGTGAAATGTAAGCAGGCCTAATCTATCTATTGCCGTGGTCTGCATCATCGTTTCATGGGCCGTATATGAAGTCGGTCAGCTGCTCTAAACGAGGGTGTAGAAGTCTATACAATTTTCGCACAGTCCATATTACAGCCTAAAGTTCTTCCTCGAGGGCTTGTGCACATATCCAGCTGATTTTTCGTCACGGGGAAACGCAGTTTGCTGACGACACTGATTGTCGGTAGAGTGACTTAAATCGAAGCGAAGTTCAATAAACCGTTGCCAAAACAACAACCTACGAAGCTCGAACACCAGCGCAAAGCAGCTCGAAGGGACTCTCCGAGTGGGGTGAGGTGGCTGCGCCCCTGGCGGTAAGCAAGCGAGCAACATACGGAAAAAAAATGCTATTGACTCCCGGGCGATTGCGAAGGCCGCAAGAAGAGAGAGAGAGCGCGCGTTCCAGTCCGGCTGTGGCTCGGCCACGGTGTAAGATAATACTCTTCAGGTGAGGACAGCGCGCTCCTCGCGCAGTGCGGGTAAAGTTCGCTTTTCACGCTCTCGCTTCCTCTCTCTCACTATGGCTTCAAGCGGCGCCGGCAGATCACTCGTCGACCCGTGGGCACGGCAAAGACGGCTCGTGCCGCCTCATGCTCCACACGCGAAGAGCTCCAGCGAGGTTGTCGCTCGTGCAGAAAGACCGCGTTGTACCGGGGTCTCATGGCAACGAGATAATTTTTTTCGCTCTCACACAGTTTCGCCGTTTGGCCGCTGGCGACACTGTCAGCCGCGGGCACGGTGGCAGCGGAATGATGCAGCCTTTCGGATGCCCGTCGAACGAAGACTATCTGATTCCTCGCGGCGCGCGTTCAGCCACGCCGTTTCCTCACCTAAAGAGTGTATCTTACACCGTGGGCTCGGCTAACCCGATGAACCGCCGGTGATACAAATAGGTGATGGGGTACATGACCGTTGCAAAAACTGCTTGAAAACAGTACTATTAATCCTGGGTTCGTTGTCAAATACCAGTGTCCTTGGCTGTCCAAATCGACCAAACATGTCCCACTGGGCTTCCACTGTGGTCTCGGCCGATGCTTCTATCTACTTTGTGTGTAAGTGGACCATGATCAGTATTACGTAACTCTCCAGCAGTGCGGCATAATATAAGCAGGGTTCAGCGTTGCTTGGTAGTCAACCAGCTGACCCGAACCTGCACTAGAGGCTTTTAACTGGACTGGGTACATGTCTTGCATTTTCTTACATGGTCAGTGGTCTTGAATGTATTTGTCAACACCGGGGTACCAGGAGATGGTGTTTGCCAAGCTCTTCATGACTGAACTGCCTGGATAGGTGTCACGGAGCATAGCCTTCTGTATACTAATAATGCTTGCTCAATTGCGGGTTGCCAGCTATCACCGTGCGTCACTTCCCTATACAAAGCAGAAGATGTGAATGTCGAGAATATGCCTCTCTCGTGCGTTCTTGTATCCTTGGTGCTGTTTTTGGCATTTGTCATGGTACCTGTGGACAAGAACATGCCAGGGCTGTCATTTCATGAGACCCCAAGCAACACCGGGGATCATGGAAAGTGACTGAAGCTCATTTTGAGGAAGGACTGCGTCCCAAATTCTAAATCCTATTTATTCTATAATGTGCGGTAGGCACACTTTTTTTTTTTGACGGACGTTAGGGAAGGCATGTCTGGTGCCCCTTCGTGCACCCTGCTTAGGCTTCACTCGAAGCCCAGCTTCGCTCAGGCCTCTCTGGTGTCAAAGCTGGAACAGCATGTACCCTTCCAGGTCCTCTTTTGGGGCTAATTGACTGGCTCTCACTGTTTAGCTACCCACATCTTTCTCGCACTGCTCGAGGTATATAGGGGCGGCGCCTGGGAACAGACACAGTGCGTCATTAAAAAACGTGAGCCCCGGCAGTGCTAACCGCTCATTCACACTGGAAGCGGATCCGCGTTCGCAAAGCGGTTGCGAACGCGATTGTATAAAGATCCAGTACCATTGCACGCGCACTTGATGTCATCGAATGCGCGTGCAATAGTACTGAATATTTATACAACCGCGTTCGCAACCGCATTGCGATCGCGGATCCGCTTCCAGTGTGAATGAGCGGTAACAGCTTCCACACTGCGTACGTGACTTTGTAGCGGTTGTTACCCCAGAGGACCCTGGCCTTTGCTATTCCTCTTCACCTTCTAAACTTTGAAACCAAACCAATTGTGCAGCAAAACCAAAGCATGCACTACCTTTCAGCATTTTAGCACCGCTTCTCCGCATCATTGTCGTTGTTGCAATGCTCTGTTTGCTTATAGTTGAGATGGTGATATCCCATCTTCCTTGTCACTTATGGTGCTCGCAGTAACTTCGCAGAACATGAGAATATTCAAACGGCATACATCAGACACTGCAGTGGAACGACCAAAATATGCAGTTGCCCTTTCTGCTTGCGTCGGCCAGCTCATCATAATGCGACATCGGGACGTGCCATGTCACAGTGTCATATAGGACGCCAGCTACGATTGATGTGGGAACCATCGTACAATGCATGTATTTTTTGTGCATGCATGTGTTTCACGTTTACTTTGGAAACTGATGCAATGAAAGGAGTTTTTGGTGGAGGCTATCGAGTTGGCAGGTTACGACCGCCTGAGCATTCATCTAATTGGTGATTTCACTTGGCTAGTCGTTTCAGTGGAATGTCTAATCTTTATTTTGTTTGCTCATAAGGTATTTATTGGCTGGTTTGTTCGAAAGTAACTCGGTCCTCAAGAGCCCAACTCTTGAGGAGAAGGAGGGAAGGGTACTGAGGGTCAGGTGTTCTTGGGGGGGGTCACGTCACGTGACCACCCAGGTCACGTGACTCCCCCCCCCCCAGAGAAATTTTTCCGCTGCGGAGAAATTTTTTCTGCTAAGCGGGAAAATTTTTTCGCTAGATTTAGCGAGGGAACTCTTCCGCTAGATTTAGCGGGGAAATTTTTCCGCTAGATTTAGTGGGGAAACTTTTCCGTTAGATTTAGCGGGGAAATGTTTCCGCTAAAGCTAGCGCGGAAATTTTTCCGCTAGATTTAGCCTCTGCCGCGTCGCGCGAGAGCAGGGCAGCAGAGGTTGGTTGCACTATTTCTCCACGGGGAGCGGTGCCGTCAGGACCGAGATGCGCTCCGATAGCACACCGAAACTTAAAAACCCGTCGAATTTGTGCGGTTTTTCAGAAAGCCGTAAAGCTGTAATTTGTTGATTTAGTGTTTTTTGATGATGCAGAGCAATTTTCTGATTGAAACTATGCGTTTAAACACAATATAAAAAAAGCGAATTACGCAAAAATAATAGCAATCGAATTATCCCGGACTTTAGTAATTTTCTGAATAGGCCCCTAGCCCAGGACCAAAACGACACAAGTCTTTTTTTTTTTTTTGTTGCGACGCGTAGTTTTCGCGATATCGAATGTGTCCACATTTCGTGAAACACCCCGTATATACAGTATAGTTTCGGTTGTAATGCCCTAATGTTTTGAGCTTAATGCACTAAAGTCTCCCCGTGCTTGGAAAGTGCCAACCTTTTGTTGTCAACAGAAAACTGAACGATATAAAATAATTTGATGAGGGCGTATATGTACTTCGAATGTAGCACATAAAAAAACTCGGCTTTGCTAGTTTTTTTTTATATATATTTAATTGTAGCACAATACTTTATTTAATGTGTATCGTTCTATTACGAGCGCCTACGGATGATGGACTGTACGCCAGGATGAGATAGGAACGACTGGCTCGTCGTCGTCTTTTATTGCCGCACCGCGAGGCTATGCTCGTGGTACATCCTCTTTTCTCTGCATTTAAAAAAAAAGTGCAAAATTAAGATGACACAAAGACGCTAGTCAAAAATAAAAAAAAAACAGGGACAAGAGAGAGAAAAAAAGAGAAGAAAGAAAAAAAAAACTACGGCATTTGCTGGAACGACTCATCATAACTTAGTCTCCGTGGAGGCTGTCTGCTTCTGCCCGATCGGCGTGATGAGGGCCCCTGCTGCGTCTGAGCTTGCGGTGCTTCCTGGTCCTCTGTCTCTTCATCTGTACCGTCTGGTCCAGGCGACTGCGGTCCCCCATCGTCTTCCGATTCCGAGTCGTCGTTTTCTTCTGTTGTCCTTGAATCATATTCTTCGTCAACTTTCGGGAGATGTTGCCTGTTGCGACGGAACGTCCTGCCATCTTCTGTGACGACGCTGTACGATCTAGGAGCGACGTAGGACTCGACAGTTGCTTTCGTAGCCCATTTTCCATCGTTTAGGATACGGACGGTGTCTCCTGGCTGCAGCGGCTCTAGATGTCGTCCTTTTTTGAGGTTCTGGGTGTGCTTTTGAACAGGCGGTGCTGGATCCGAAGAGAAGTCTGGAAGCAGGCTTCGAATACCACGACCCATCAAAAGCTCCGATGGAGAGCGACCGCCTTCCAGCGGAGCCGTACGGTAGCTAAGCAAGCCGAGCCAGAAGTCCTCTTTTGTTGATTGTGCTTTTCGGAGTAGCCGCTTCACCACCTGGACGCCTTTCTCCGCGAGGCCATTGGAGCGGGGATACCCAGGGCTTGACACTGTATGAATAAAATCATACCGCGTTGAGAAGTCTTTGAATTCTTTTGCAGAAAACTGTGGCCCTCCGTCTGTGCAAACTTCTAATGGTATTCCATGACGTGCAAATATTTCTGACAGTTTGGAGATCACACCATTAGCAGTTGTGTCACGAAGCTCCTCCACTTCGGGATAATTTGAGTACGCGTCATACACCACTAGGTAATGTTTACGACCAAGTTCGAACAAGTCAGCCCCAACCCGACCCCAAGGATGACCAGGCACCTCACGTGTATGCAGAGGCTCATCCTGGTGTCTGTAGGTGAAAATTTGGCATGTCTCGCATTTTCTGACTAATGCAGTAATATCCGCATTCATACCTGGCCAGTAGACTAAGTTCCTTGCTCTTGATTTACATTTGTTGAGGCCTAGGTGACCCTGGTGTATTCTTGTAAGTATTTCTTTGCGCATTGCTGCTGGTATTACAACTTTGTTTCCTTTCAACAAGACTCCATTGATGACCGCCCTACCAAAAAATCTGGTATAACTTTTCGCTATCTGGATTATGGAACCGGAAATCTATCTGGATTCTAACTGGACTCTATCTGGAATCTAGTTTTTCAGAAATTATCCCTTTGTATGCAATCTGGATTTCGGGTTTCCAGAAACAACTTTCCGGTTCCATAATCCGGATAGTGAAAAGTTATACCGGATTTTTCGGTAGGGCGAAAGCTCTGTCATAATGGACTTCAGCTCACCCCGAACTGGAGTTCCAGCTTCTAAACTGGCAATTGCCTCCTGCAGGACGGGATCGCCTGCTGTGGCTGCCTGCAGGCTGCCCAGGGTCCGGCTGCCTACCAGTGTTGAAAACACTGCATTTGCATGTATTTCGACGTCGGTCGTGTCGTCTTCTGCTTGGGAACCACCGGAGATTCGGGAGAGTGTGTCCGCGATCACCAGCTTCTTTCCAGGGACAAACTGTAAATCAAATTCGAACTTAAGCAAACGAAGAAATAGTCGTTGCAACCTTGGTGGCAGGTCGCCTAAGTTTTTCTTTGCAAGAGCGATCAAGGGTTGATGGTCAGATTCAACGAATATTTTTCTTCCGAGTATGAATTCGGTAAATCTTTCGCACCCAAATACAATTCCCAGAGCCTCCTTTTCGATCTGAGCATATCTACGCTCTGTGTCTGTGAGTACTCGTGATGAGTACGCCACCACTTTCCAATCTTTTCCATCATGCTGGAACAAGGCAGCACCGAGAGCAAATGCAGAGGCATCTGTTGAGACTTTGGTGGGTCGAGAGGGATCAAAAATTGCCAGGACCGGTGCCTCAGTGAGCAATTTTCGCAGTTGTTGCCACTCAGTTTCATGAACCTTCTGCCATTCAAAAATAGTGTCTTGTCGAATAAGTTGACGCAACGACTCTGTCTGCGTTGACAGGTTTGGCAAGTACTTTCCAAAGTATTTAACAGCTCCTAGCAACTGCTGAACCTCTTTCTTACTCGTTGGAGTTGGTAGGGCTGCAACACATTTCACAAGTTCTGGATTTGGCTCAATGCCAGCTGCGCTTATTTTATCTCCTAAGTAGGTGATTTCTGTGACCCCGAAGATGCACTTCTCCAAGTTAAGAGTTAACCCTTCTGTTTGTAGAGCATGAAGCACAGCACGCAATCGTTGGTCATGTTCTTCCCGTGTTTCGCCCCAAATCAGGACATCATCAATATACACCCGCACACCTGGAAGTCCATCCAAAAGGTAACTCATAGTGCGCTGAAACACCTCGGGGGCTGAAGCGATTCCAAAGGGTAGTCTGAGAAACCTGTAGCGACCAAAAGGAGTGCTGAAGGTGCATATTCGAGATGTACTGTCATCCAACGGTATTTGATGGAAACCGCTGTTGGCGTCGAGCCGGCTAAAGTATGCGGCATGTGCCAAGTCTGCTTCAATTTCCTCTCTCCGAGGCAGCTGAAAATGCTCTCGCTTGAGTGCTTTGTTTACGTGACGGGGATCCATGCATAATCTTAAGTTGTTGTTTTTCTTTCGTACTGTGACCAAGGGGCTCACCCAGTCGGACGGTTCTGGTGCCTTCGCGATGACACCTGCTGTCTCCATTCGGTCGAGCTCTGCCTTCAGAGGCGCACGTAGCGCGTGCGCCACCCGGCGTGCTGGCTGGATCACCGGTGTGGAGTTGTCGCGAAGAACCATCTTGTAGGCTCTCTTTGTGCAACCGAGACCACGAAAGAGACCGGGGAACTCGCGCTCTACTTGTTGGCGCTGCTGGTTCTCGTGCTCTACAGTGTTGACCCGGTTGACGAGGCCAAAGTGCTCGCATGCTTTCAGGCCCATGATGGCTTGCCTGCCCTTCTTTACTATAAAGAAATCGATGAAACCTTGTTTTCTGCCGACAGATACCGACAGGCGGACTTTTCCCAGATGTTGTATGATGCCACCTCCGTAGCTATGCAGAGTTGCAGTCGTGTGTTGAGGCCGCTGCTTTTGTTTGATCTTCATAAACAATGTTCGAGGGAGCAGATTGGCCTGTGCACCGGTGTCCACTTTAAGCTCTACCTGCTTCCCTTCTATCGTAGTATTCACGGTCCAGTCACGGTTGCCGACCGAATGCACGCTGCTGGTTGACAAAATCTCAAGCACATCAAAATCGCTGCTTGCCTCACTGGTTTCTTCAACGTCATGTACGCCAGACTGCTTAGTCTTGCAACATACTGCAAAATGATTTTTCTTCCTGCATTTTGAGCATGTCTTTCTGTAGGCTGGACATTGCCTTGGCGCGTGAGCTTGGTTGCAGAAGCGACATCTCGACTTGTCTTTCTGCTGCTGCTTGACTGTCTTAACGATTTCCACCTTGGCCGCTGCTTCACTTGACCCTTTAACTGCCGCGTCATTCCATGTTTTGTTGTGGACATTGGCTGTTTCTTCGGCCTTGCAGCATTCAACTGCTATTTCTAAAGTCAAATCCTTTTTCCGCAGGAGTTTCTCTCGAATCTTCTTGCTTGACGTTCCATACACGATCTGGTCTCGTAGCATGGAGTCCTTTAGGTCGCCAAATCCACAGGTCGCTGCTTTCAGCTGAATATCGCGGTAGAAATGTTCGAAAGCTTCTCCTTCCTCTTGTCGCCTCGTTCGGAACACATAGCGTTCGAACGTCTCATTGCATCTCGGAAGGCAGTAGGCTTCGAACCTCCGTACCAGGACATCGTAATCTTGGGCTTCTTCAGCTGACAAACCAAACGTGTTAAATACCTCAATGGCTTCTTGTCCAGCGACGTGCAGAAAGATAGCGGCTTTTTGTTGCTGGTTGCGACCTTCCTTGGGCTCTGTAGCCAGAAGGAAGAGTTCCATCCGCTGCTTGAATTTTTTCCAATTCTCTGCAGCGTGCTCTCCCAGCCGCAGCGGTTCTGGTGGCGGAAGATCAGTCATGGTGCGTGGAGACTGAAGATCACTTCTGACACCATGTATCGTTCTATTACGAGCGCCTACGGATGATGGACTGTACGCCAGGATGAGATAGGAACGACTGGCTCGTCGTCGTCTTTTATTGCCGCACCGCGAGGCTATGCTCGTGGTACATAATGTAAGTTTAATTTAGAGACTTTTAAAGTGGAGTGAGTAGAGTGACTCCTGGGACGCTCGACCAACACGGGTAAGCGTGCCGCCAGCTTTTGCCCGCTACAATTAAGTCCCCTATTTTCAAGCACTGAATTTAAGGAGAAAAATAACGAATTGAACAACACAAGACTAAGAATTATGTTACCTTTAGCCGATTACTGACTGGGAATGCAGATATTATTGTAACTTTTTCTGCCAGTACACGCGCTGAACGAGCATGGGGCAACATGGCTTGAGTAAGCTTACCACTGCGTGAATCTGAAACCGAAACTGATCGGGAGCATGCCAGTCGATGTTACTTCCGCCGATTACTTTCATATAGCGCGGGCCCTTCGAACCGCTAGATTAAGGGAGGTGTCTAGACTGCCAATTTAAATAGACAGAGCACTTGTATATGAATAATACTTGCCAATACTCTTTGTATCCATCTGGTAGACAGTGGCAGCCCTGACACCTGTGCTGAGAAGGAAATTTTATACGTCCCACAAAGAAGACGACCCTGGTCCCGACCTGAACTGCAAGGCTTGCAAAACCCCGGCTACTTGTAAACATCTAATATACTACTGCGAAGCAAACAAAGAACTAAGACAAGACGCACTCCTCAGTATTCCGGAAGATGCACGACCTCAAACATACGAAGGGTGGGTAACCCCCCGCAAAGAAAACGCAAACAGGATCAAGATCCTCGACTCCCTACTTACCTACCTTAAGGCAGTGAACTTCACACACCTCATCTAATACCCCCCTCCTCCTCAGCCCCCTCATATCTCCCTAATCATCCCGTCACACCAGATGACTTCACTCAAGAAATGTGGCGGAACCCAATCATCTTCATAAACGTCTTCTGATCTGTGGCACTCACTTGCCTAATACGAAAAATACGAAGTATAAAACAGCGAGGACGAGGGCGGGAACAGGACATCTTTTATTTAGCAACAACATAGAATGGCACAACGATAAAACCGCACCCCAAACGTTTCAATGACCTCAAGAAGGGAAAGGAGATAATTGTTATAAAGGAAAGAAAATTTACTATAAAGATAAAAGTTTAAAAAGCGCTGGCGCCACGACGAGGTATCACTACTCTAGTAATCTCTGATTACTTAGAATTCGACCTTTGGCATTGTCAATGATAAGGAAGGTGCAGAACTATGGTAGTTTGCAGTCCCAAAGGGAAATGTGATGTAAATATAAAAGTTTAAAAAGCTCTAGCGTCACGACGAGGTGTGAGTAATCTACTCATCGCTGGTGTTAGGAATTCGACCTTTGTCTATGTCAATGATAAGGAAGGTGCAGAAATGTTGTTGTTTTCAGTCGCCATGGCAAATGATTCAATGATTTCTCTCCCAAATCTGTTGTTGCGCCCGCCCAGTATTCTAGTATCAGAGAAATAAGGAGTACAATCACCGCATGTGCGGCTGTGTATGACGATTGAGTGAAACGATTCATTTGAAGCCTTTAATGCTTCCAAGTTGTGTCCTCTGATTCGATGGTTCGCGCATCTCCCAGTCTGTCAAATGTACTGACTGCCACAGCTTATTGGAATTGAATAAACCTTTCTTTCTCTGAATTCTACGAAACTTTTGGCATGCTTCACATTGCACCCTCTGCAATATAAAGTATGCAGGCAGCAATGGCTAACCACGTCGGTAGAAGTGGGCACAAACAAGAAATAGGAAACAAAATAATAGCGGTAGCTTTGGTGCGTGTTGAATTCCTCTCGTTGGTGTCGACGAAGGTGCCCAGCGATTAATCGCCGCGTACGACAAGCATACATTGTGCTAAAAATATTCAGCCTGCCCATTCATCGCTTAACGATTTCTTTCTTAAGCGTTCTCCGCCGGCAGTAAAAATACAGTCAATCTCGAGATGCCGTTGGGGACAATCGCGGCGATTCCGGCACATACACTGCCGTCCTTCCGGAATATAGGTACGGTACCGGTGTCTGGGAACGGATGTTTAGAGTGCCTGGCGGCGCTTGGGAGACGTCGAATAGGCGTATGCGCCCTATTCTCTCACTCGACCGAAAAGCCGTGCTGTTTAATAGCCCTTACCGGGGAAATCGAGCCTCGCTAACCGGCCGCCATTTTGCTTTAGGGTAGTAGTTAAATTTGACTATCTGCTTTTTGACTACGTGTGGGGTCGTTAGTTTTACCATAGAGATTGTTATATTTGGGACAACTTATGCGGACGCAGCCGACGCAACGAGCTAGTGGAGACAATAAAGTAGCGTCAGAAGCACAATTCACTGGTCCTTTGATTTGTTTATGGTTGGTTCAGCGATGATAGAACGCGTACAGAAACATGAAGAACAACATGATGGTGCCCTTTTGGCGCTGTTAGATTGGTCCCCTCAGCTCGTAGCGTCGGCTGCGTCTGGACCTTAGGTGAGACGAAGTACAGGAACACGAAATAAGTGTACTTTCTTCAGGTCTTAGGAAGAAGTAGTAAAGAGTAACGTAACTACATTACCTTTTACGTACGTTACTATGTTACTAATCGAATTAACACGTTACCGGTAATGCCGTTACTTGTAACGCGTTACCGCCGACACTGCTTAAATGCCACCTCGGCTACCGACGATCATGGAAGGTATCTGAGTCGGAACTCCTTTGGCAGTTAGCTGCGTGAGCGGCCGGGTTATCTCCGCGAAGGTCGGAACGTAACCACAATAATAGCCACAAAGGCCAAGAGCGTTGCTCAAGTCTTTCTTTGTTTTGGTGCCCTGAAGTCCTTTAATAGCCTCTAATTTTTCGGAATCTGGACCATTTCTTCCGGAGCCCACGACGTTCCCTAGGTGGTGAATTGAGGGCTTAGCCACCTGGCATTTCTCGTGGTTTGCACGTAAATCCGCCGCCTCTAGGCTAGCACAGAGCTCGTGTAGATGCTCAAGGTGTTGTCCGAGCGACTGTCTAAATACGGCTATATCATCTAGATACACGTACGCGTTGTCCGTGTCTTGCTAGCACGTTGTTCATGTACCTCTGAGAAGTAGCCGCCAGGTTTTTTTGAGACCGAAAGGCATCACCCTCTAGGCGAATCGGCCGCAATTTGCGGCGAAGGCCGTTGCGAGCTGCGAATCCTCTGCAAGCGGCACCTGCAAATCAGTGAACGTGATTAAATTAGCGGCCCGCACTCGCAAGATCAGTTCTTGTGGGCATCACATCGAAAAGGAATCTGCTTCCGATACTGCATTGAGCTTGCGGTAATCGCTGCTCAACCGCAAGAATACGTCTTTTTTTTTTTTTTTTGCGCGCATCCAATCGGGTGCGCGAACGAGCTCTTACATTGCTATACCAGCTTCAGTTCCAGGAGCTCTTTGATATGTTTAGAAACCTCCCCATTCAGAGCCTATGGAATCCTAAAAAGGCGGCTACGCGTTTTGTATTTGAACCTTCGACAAGCTTGGTACGGTGTTCCCCTCACGCGGGCGATCTCTGGGCCTTCCGAGCGGATTGTCTAGTGTTGGTCAAACACAGAGCATATAGAGGACGCCTTCTCCTCATCGAGGTGAGCAGTTGTCTCTCGCCTGAGGGTCAGACATTCTTGTTTGGATTTGATTAAACGCGGAGTGTACTTTACTTCATCAAAATCGTTGTTGTCGTGAAACATGACGCTCACCGATGCCACTTCGCA